AGAATAAGAGTGGGCCAAGAATTGAACCTTGAGGGATTCCACATGTAACCAACTTCGTGCCCGACAGACCGCCATTAACGGAGCACATTTGGGTTCTATACGCTAAATAGGATCCTAAAAGGTTTAATGATGGCTTCTGTAGGCCATAAAGATCAAGTTTCGTTAAGAGGATGTCATGATTTATGGTGTCGAACGCCTTTTGCAAGTCCAGAAAAACGGCTATATTAAACAAACCACGGTCCATATTAATAAACCATTCATTTGTACTATCTAAAAGAGCAGAGGCTGTAGAATGAAACTTCCTGAAACCAAATTGACGAGGGGACAACAACTCCTGTCTAACAAGATACTCATGGAGTTGTTCGTATAATACTTCTTCAAAAAGTTTACTTACTACAGGGAGGATAGAAATGGGGCGATAGTTGTTTAATAAGTTTCGTGGGCCGTTTCTAAATATGGGAGTGACTCTTGCTATTTTCCACTCAAAAGGAACAGTTGAACTTATAATGGCCATATTGAAAATTTTTGTCAATGAGTTTGTAATTACAGGAGCAGCAATGCGAATAATTTTAGCAGGGATTTTGTCAATTCCAGTAGATTTACGAGGATTTAGAGATAACAGAAGTCTGTATACGTTCGACTCAGACACTGTTTGAAAATTAAAGCTACTAGTTGTTGTCGTGATGTAATCCTTGAAATTTCTGTCACCATTGTCGATATTTTTGGCAATATCTGGACCAATATTGGTGAAATAATTATTAAAACACTCCGCTAACTCCGTTGGTTGTGAAATTTGTCCTTTCTGTGTTTCAAGACAATTTATTTGTCTACTTCCTTGTTTACGGTTTAGGATTTTATTCACAGTTTTCCATGCTTGTTTGGGATCATGTTTGACTTTCTTAAATTCTCCTTTATAATATGCTGCTTTTGTTTCTCGCAATGCATCAGTTACGCGATTTCTAGAGGTTTTGTATGCGTTCCAGTAATTTTCGGATTTATGTCTAATAGCAAGAGATTTAAGGCGATCGCGTTCGTGGATTTGTTTTTTAATTGTACTAGTGAGCCAAGGAACATTTGGTTTACTTTTAACTCTCTTTTCCCTGATTGGGGCATGCCTATCAAGAACTTGTACGAAAAGTGTTTTCCATGTGTCCCACATCTTATCAACTCAGAGATTGTTATCTAATAATTCCCATTCCTGACCACGCAGGTCAGCTTGAAAACTCTCAGCATTGAAATATTTTAAATTACGAATTTCAACTTTTTTGTGACTGTTCTGTTTGCGCTGGATATTTACTTTACGAACAACGAAGATCATGTAATGATCACTAATGGCAATCGGTATTACTTGTGATGTTATTAACTTAGTTGGAGTGGGAGTAAGACAAACGTCTATTAGGGAGGATGAGGTCGTGGTCACACGGGTAGGTGTGTTTATCGTTTGCGATAATTGATATAATTCCATGATTGAATTTAAATTCTTTGTGGCATTGTTAGAATTTAATTGTTAGAATTTGAATGCCTTAGCACTCTGTTGGTTCCCACGAGTGCATAAATAATTGACACAAGTACATTTTATGCATAAAGAAACTATTTAGGAAGCTTCTTTAAGTGCTTTAAATTCCCAATAGCAGAAAATCGCGCACTTTACAAGGAGATGTTCTTAACTAAATTTTAGTACATGCACCTTGTAAATATTTTACGCATCATTACGTTCAGATTTTTGGTAGGGCATTCAATTTTAACAATACATGATCTCAATAGTTTTCTTTTTTGGGGGACACCCTGTATATACCGCTGTCAAAATCATTGATATGGATTCTTCCGATATACTGGTGTCAAAATCATATATGCATGGATTCTTCGTTTTCGTCAATTACCCGCAATAAATATATTATTAGCATATATTCTGTTGCGTCTTTCTTACAACCTATACCTAGTAAGACTTAAACAAACTCGCCGATATCTTATATTCATATATATATACTGCTATCAAAATCATATAGGATTCTTCGTTCTCGTCAATAACCCGCAATTGATTTATACCATCTGTATTTTCAACTGACAACTATAGTCCTGTATAGATTAAAACTAACTACAAAGTCGCGATATCTTATGATTCATATATACCGCTGTCAAAATCATATAGGATTCTTCGTTCTCGTAAATAACCCGCAATTGATTTACCATCGATCGGTATTTTCAACTCACAACTATATAGCCTTGCATATAGATTAAGACTTAAACAAATTACTCGCCATATCTTAATGATTCATATATATATACCGCTGTCAAAATCATAATTATATGGATTCTTCGTTCTCGTCAATCACCCGCAATAAATATATTATTAGCATTATTCTGTTGCGTCTTTCTTACAACCTATACTAAGACTTAAACAAACTCGCGATATCTTAATATATTCATGTATATAGGCAGCCTATATCGCTATGAAAATGATAAATCATTCTGTTGCGTCTTTCACGCAAGGAAATGAATTTTCCTGCGGAAGTAGCGCAATAATAAGGATGCAAATTAGTATACGAATTTGCATAGCACTATAAATATGAGTGAAAATGCTGTAGCGCCATCACGTGTAGCACAGACAGCCTTCTTAGTTTAAGCATGTCAGATAGGGAGCCCACCGATATCGAACAACCAACGCCTGTTGCTAGTGGACAACTAAACCTCACCGAACAAGTTTTCGAACGATTCAAATCATATCTTGGTCAAAAGGTTTCCAATTTAACCACGAATCTTACTGCCAAGGCCGACAGCAGATCTAAGCGTGTCGAGCGCCAAACTACAGGTCAACAACTCAAGCTTGCCGCAACAAGGATCAGTTTCTTTTCAACGCCGAGTTACAAAACTCAATCGAAGAAAGTACCGAGTTACTGCAACACCAAGACGTCGAAGGGGCTTTGGTAAAGCTCGAAACGGCTCAGCAATCTTTACATCTACGACAGAAGAAAATAAAACATGCTGACAAAAGCGACGCTGGGTGGTTAGCGGTAAAAGAATGCGAAGCTGAAGATCTCGCAAGCGATTCAGACGATCAGAAACGTATTAAGAAAGCCCAAGCGTCGGCAGTACGGAAGAAAGCTAAATCTAGACAGGCAAAGCCTATCAACCAGGTATCCAGGAACGAATTTGTTAATCGCTTTCCTGTTCATAGCGACAATCAGCTTTTTCGAGGTAACTCATGCATGGCCACAATAGGTATAAGTCTGTACGTAAGTAGCCCTTTCTTTGTAATATCAGCATGGTAGGCAGGTGCTCACACGTCGCCTACCGGTTTTATCTATCTATTCATAATGTAACCAGTCACTGAAAAGCCCTGTTAGGGAGTGTGCTGTGAAATATCTGTACCTATATGTTGTGTGTGTAATTGATATGGCGAATGTAGAAGGAAAATATTTTTCCTTCGGGCGAACACAGTGAGTAAAGAAGGAAAACGAATTTTCCTGCGGAAGTAGCATAATAATAAGGATGCAAATTAGTATACGAATTTGCATAGCACTATAAATATGAGTGAAAATACTGTAGCGCCATCACGTGTAGCACAGACAGCCTTCTTAGTTTTACAAAACTAATTGCAAGTCTTTAGTTATGCATCCTTGTAAGTGTTTTATTTTATTTCATTTCATTTCATTTTAGGCCGTCGCTTTCCTAACGCAACCGACACCTGTTTCCGGTGTGGAAAACGAAGGCATTGGGCCGAAAACTGTTACAAGTTCGACAGGCAAAGGTCGGTAGTGCCTGCCTTCATCCCCACCAAGGGTTCCAACTTTGGGGAGTCTTCTGGATACGGATTTAAAGCCGGAAATAGTGGTAAATGATTACTTCGGAGAGGAACTTGAACGCGTCGAACAGGTAGACCATTTGGATTATGAATATATTTTTGAATTTTTGGACAGGCATGAACCTGTCAATGCTGTTGGTTTGCCAAATGTCAAAGGCAGGCTAAAATCTCATTTAGCGGTTTGGACAGATATTAAGGCGCCTGATTTTATCATTGACTGCATAAGAGAAGGTTACAAGATCCCGTTTTATTCTACCCCGGAGCCAGCGACTTTTCCTAATAATCGCTCCGCTCACGTTCACGCAGATTTTGTTTCAGAAGCGTTATCAGAATTGTTATCCACGTGTAGAATAGTGGAAACACGTAAGGAGGACTTGGTCGTTATAAATCCACTTTCCGTAACAACGAACAAAAGTGACAAAAAGCATTTAATATTGGATTTGAGATATGTAAACAAACATATTTACAAGCAAAAGATCAAATTCGAGGACTGGCGTACCGCCATTAATTATTTCGGCCCAGGCACGTATTTCACAAATTTTGACTTAAAGAGCGGCTACCATCACTTAGACATATTTTCTGAACATCAGTCGTATTTAGGATTTTCTTGGCCCAATCCAGATGGGAGTACACGATACTATAGATTTACTGTCTTGCCTTTTGGCCTTTCTTCAGCTCCCTATATTTTTACCAAACTGCTTCGTCCCATAATTCGTCACTGGCGTGGTTTGGGTATTAGCACTACAATATTCCTAGACGATAACATCGATATGGAAAATTCACCTGAAATCTCTCACGAATATGCCACAATTATCAAATCAGATCTTTGCATGTCAGGCCTAGTTGCCAATGACGAGAAATCAACATGGGCACCAACTCAGAATATAACTTGGCTAGGTTTGGATTGGAATGGCGTAAACGGCACGATCGCCATTGCATCCCATCGCCTAGAGAAATTAAATTCTGCAATAACTACTATTCTCAATTAGCATCGAATCACAGCCAGGCAATTAGCGAGAGTAGTGGGACAGATTATTTGCACTGGCCCCGTTACAGGGAATTTGGCCGGTATCTTGTCCAGACATTGCCAAATGTCTGTTGCATGTGCAGCGAATTGGGACACAACATTTCTAATTGACGACTACTGTCTCCAAGAACTACAATTTTGGATAACAAACTTAAAATTAGTTAATGCTCGATCTTTTAAAGAATCATCTTCCAGTAACCGAACGATTTGTTCAGACGCCAGTGCCACAGCGTGCGGGGCCATCATTTTGGGGACAAATCATGTAGCACACAGAATGTTCACCCAATCTGAACAAGAGACAAGTTCCACATATAGGGAATTACTTGCAATTCAATTGGCTATACAGGCCTTTGAACCACTGTTAACAGGTTGTAAAGCAAAATTATTCACTGACAGTCAAGTAGCAATGAAAATTGCTCAGATCGGGAGTATGAAATTAGAATATCACGAATTAGCAATTAGTATCTTTTCTACGCGTTTTCGAGCAAATATTCAGTTAGATTTGCAGTGGACACCCCGAACATTAAACGAACAAGCCGATTATGTTAGCAAGTTAAACGATTTTGATGACTGGGAAGTCGTACCCGGCATATTTGAGCAAATTGACGCTCAGCTTGGTCCTCACACTTTGGATTGCTTTGCAAATTCCAAAAACGCAAAAGTTTCTAGATATTTTTCAAGGTTTTGGAATCCGGGCACGACCGGAGTGGACGCGTTTTATCAGGATTGGTCCCACGAGATTGCGTGGGTTGTACCACCCATATCGATTGTATCGAGGGTTCTTTGGTTCATGTTTGAGAATAAATGTAAGGGAACATTAGTAACTCCCTACTGGCCATCGGCGGCTTACTGGCCTTTACTAGTCAAGCAATTTGTAGCTTGTGTCAGAACAACAATCATAATTAAAGGCAACGTAGCGTTACGCCAACGGAGTAATTCGAAATCGTTGTTAGGTTCGACAGATTGGCAGGGAAATGTTTTCGTGTGTTCTCTCGATTTTTCAGACTAATATTGTTAGCTCATACAGTATACGAGTGTAAGAGTGTTTAATTAAATAGATCAAAATGCATATATATTATTCAGTTTTTGTTTTCATGTTTGCTGGGTCTGAGAACGCCGGATGGCGTACGAGTATTTAATTTACTTACATCTTAATTTACTTACGTGACATCGCCGGATGGCGAATGACGTTGAAAGTGTTCAGAGTGTCCAAAAATTGGCCGGATGGCAAATGACCTTGACACTATTCGGAAGACGGCCGGATATGGCATTTGAAGGGGGAAACAGTTATTATGATCGCCGGATGGCAAATGTAACAGGAATACCCCCCTCTAATATATTATATCACAGAAAAGTCCCTTTTCAAAAAATGCCCCCCCCCCCCACGGGAAAATCCTTAAAAAAGGCCCTGGCTGCTTTGGACACCTTATTAGTTGATAATAGCTTATAGACCTGTTCTAATGATATCAATTGGAGTTCAAATTTAGATTCCTTTTGCCTTATGTAACTTTCCGGTGAAATATTACTGTTTGGTAAATTTTTTGCCAGTCTTGGTCCTACTTCAAAAAAGAAGGTATTAAAAGCTTCGGCCAGGGCCTTTTTTAAGGATTTTCCCGTGGGGGGGGGGGCATTTTTTGAAAAGGGACCTTTCTGTGAGATAATATATTACAGGGAGATAGCAATGTTGAAGGCCACGTGTGCGCCGAACATACCATGTACGCATGAATAAGGGGGGGGGGGTACTCCCCAGAAAATTTTTGAAATTTGAAGCACAGAAATGCCATTTCCTGCATTTTGAGCATCCAAATGCGCTCCAAAATGTATACTAACTATACTTGTATTTGAAACAAAAGAAGGAAAAAACCCACAAAAAGTAAAAAAATATTAACCATAATTTATCATTACTTATTAGAGGAGTATCCCAATGGTCACGTGTGTGGGGGTGTAATCCCCCAAAAAATTTTTGAAATTTGAAACAACGGAAATGCCATTTCCTGCATTCTGACCATCCAAATTTGCTCTAAAATTTATGCTAACTATACTTGTATTTGAAATAAAAGAAGGTAAAAATGCACAAAAAGTAAAAAAAGAATATTAACCGTAATTTATCATTATACTTATATTAGAGGGGGATACCAATGGCAATTTGAAACCTGGAAATGCTCTTTCTTGCATTCTGAGCAACCAAAAAATAAAAAATTATTAACAATAATTTATCATTACTTAGTGGTAGAAAAACGTAACAATTTAGGTCGATCTTGTTAAACAAGGATAATTTAGGATAAAGCCTAAAACTTACTTTCCGTTTATTTATTTGTTATTCTTCGCTGATTTGTTGGTATAAATTTAGGAAAAAGGGACTTTTCCTGGGGGG